TTCCTTGAGGGTCTCATCAGGCCTCTGCCTGCAGTTACGGAGATTCCATGAGTTCCCGGGCCCAGTGTATGTACCTTGGAAGTGGCCGATGAAGACCGAACAGAAATCGCCCCAGCAGCGGATGCTACCAGGCTCGAGCTGCTCGAGCCAAGCTCTGGTCAAACTTGACAGAAGCAGAGGAAGATACTTAGCGGCAAAGTCAACATCCGACCCCCAGCCTTCATGGCGAGGCGGTAATCCTCTAGCCAGTGATCCAGGTTGGTCTCGCCGTCGTACTAGGAGATGTGCATCTGTGGCCGAAAATGCCTAGGGTAGGGAGCCGCCCGGATCGCTGCCCCGAACATCGGGGCATCGAAGTGATCTGGGGCGACGCCCCCGCCCCGCTGCTCTAGGGTACAAGGCTGCACCTGAGCATGGCGCTTGGTCTCGATGGTGTTGTGGATGTCGTAGTCATTGCCAATCTGGTGGCGCGTGGGGGGACGCCGAGGAGAAAGGTCACGCCTTCGCTCCTATCGGGCTTGGCGCCTCAAGTCCATGGCCGGTCGGAGCTGTTGCCAGAGGTGTCGCCACTGCTTCCCACCACCTATGGGGTGTGAGCGTTGGAGCGGTCCCCATTGGGAGTAGCCATCATTAGGGATGGCCGAGAGAGCGCGGCGCGGTGCTGGGATGCCGAGCTCTTGGCCTGTAGCTCAAGGGCGATGTGAAGGAGTCGCTTCACCTCGTTCAGTCGCTCATTGGTCTTTGGGTCCGGCGTGTCGAGATGTCTTCCAGGTGGCAGGCGATGGCCACCAGGTTGTACGCCGCATGGGGGAAGCAAAGGCTGCTAGGAGCCCCCGTGTGGGCATCGTTGCCATCGCTGAGAGGGTGTGCGGCTTGTTGCCACGCAAAGTCCAACCTTTGGCGCTCGAGCTCTGCCTCGGCGGCCTCTAAGTCCACCTGCTGAGCTCGCAAGCGGTTTGCCTTCTCCTGAAGGTAGACCGCGCAGTTGCGGGGACTCTGGTCCAACGGCATGAGCCCAGGTGCCTCCTTAGGCAAAACCTCGCCGTCAATGTGGTAGCACATGTGCAGAGGGGCATTGTAGTCAATGTCATCGGAGTTGTACTCCAAGTCGTTCCCTGAGAGGACCTCGAGGAAGGTGCGCAACGATGGGACATCAGTCCCTGCCATGTCAAAGACGATGGTGCTTCGCAGCGCCTCACGACTGATGAGGTGCTACAGCTCCATCTGGAAGAACACCATCGTGTTCTGGATCCTAAAAGGTAGGCCTGGGAGGTAGTACTAGAAGCCGTTAGGCGGTGGGAGCACTTCACCCATGGTGACCTGGTGGTGGACGTTGACCAGTATGTAAAACATCTGGCGATGGTCCGACAAGGTGGGGTTCGGGCCCAAACCATGCTGAATCTGTCAGGCCAGGACCTCGAGATCTGCTCCCAGGAGTCCTAGCGGAGGGGGCAATGCCGAGGGCTCGTTGCCCACCGGCACACCCCTATGGAGTGGATGAAGCTTGCTGTAGCAGTCGGCGACGTAGGCCAAGCTCCCAAAGTTGAGGACCTGGCCCCGAGCGAAGGCGCCGACAGTGACGAAAAACTCACCGGGGAAGTGGGCACCATCGTATAGGGCGGTGCCGATTGCTCCGGTGATGAGGTGGGTGGCTCCAGCCACCGTAGAGCTAGAATCACACTTGACGATGTCCCCTACCTGGTGCGCCAGCTGTCGTAGGGTTAGAACTACGGCAAGCATTGTTGTTCGAGTCGGTGTCAGAGTACAGGTCTCTGGTGGCTCGGGTGGACTCAAGAACACAAGAATCACAGAGAGGATGCAATGGTTTATCCTGGTTTGGGCCAATCGATGCCCTACGTCTAGCAGCTGATGATCCTTATACACCCAAAATTGGGGGGTTACAACAGGGTTGTAGAGAGATTTGGTAGGGGGTTAGCTCGGTGCTAATCCTAAGGTTGTCTCACCGCTGGTGGTGCCTTCCCCTTGTCGGAGAGGAGGAAGACGACGGGATGCAGTGGTGAGGCTCTCGGTGCCCCTCTATGGTTGCCTTGCTATCGGTGCTGAGCAGAGGCCAAAGGATGGAATGGAGTCGGATGATCTGAGTTCTCCTTCTCCTTCCCTCCTAGGTCCGACCTTATCCCTTATATAACAAGACATGTCGGGTACATGATGGTTTGGGGAGGTGAGTCTACGGTCTACATGCCCTGGAGTCCAGGAGGGTCTTGCAGCGACACGCTGTGGACCATGGCGGTGTCATGGAGCCGAAGAAGCCTTGGGCGTCGTCCGGCTACTCTGTTCTGACACTCTGCGTGTCCGGTTGTGTCAGCTTGGACCGGCCTCCCCCAGATGGACCTTCTGGAGTCCTCTTGGTGGCGAAGGAAGCCCCCAAGCCCCTAGATGGACCTTGCTGATGTGCGGACCCGGAAGCCCCCAAGCCCCTAGAGGCCGCGGAGAAGGTTTGTCTTCTTGTGTCATGCCCTGTGCGTGACCTTGTCGGGAAAGTGGCCGGCAATGTCGTGCCCATGGGGTAGCGCCGGGGGAGCCCCTGAGCCTCGGTAGCTCAGGGCTTGTCGTCTTATGCCCGGGCCTTGGCTGGCGTCGTTGGCAGGGCAGGGGCCAAGGCCCGGGCCGGAGTGTCATCATAGATCAGGAGCCTCAGGGCTCGGGCAACCCCCTGAGCCCCAAGCGGAGGTCGCGACGGAGTTAGGCTCGGACGGGTTTCTTCTCAGAGGGTGCGCACGAGTGTACCCGATGGGTATAACCCCCGAGCCCTCGGGCGATCCTAGAGGGGTCGCTCGGGGGGTCTTCGTCGTTCGAGAACCACTGGACCCGAGGCTTGACATACCCATATGTTATGATCGATGATGCTGATTATGGTTACAGAAACAATTCGAATGTTAAGTGGACAATGAAAGGATTTATCAATGTTGGGAGGTGAAAAATTAAGTCATGTGTCACGCGGAGGTGCTATATCATGGTTTAAAGGAGAGACAATCACCATGGTCGCTTATGCTGAAATTTGGCTTATGATGAAATGTTGTGAGAGAAAAATATTGTTCCGTGACTGAAAAGTAACTCAAGCGAAAGTAGTATGTCCTGGCAGTGGCATGTTCGGTTAATTTGGCAACTATACTGCCAATTTTGGTTAATTTGGTCAGGAATGAAGCAACTCTTTAGCTCCTTTTCAATCCATCCCCACTGTGAGTTTGATATATGTCTTGGATCTTTATAACCACACTATGAGTTACTGATGAAAAATTGAATCATATGTCATTTAGAGATGCTATATTGGCCCCGTTCGCTTCGCTGAAAAAACAAGCCAAAACATTGTTCCGGCTGATTTGTTGTGAGGGAAAAATACTGTTCCGGTTGAAAAAATAAGCTGAAAAAGACGGATTACAAGAGAAGCGAACAGGGCCATTATGGTTTAAAGGAGGGAAATTCATATCTTGCATTGGCACAAATTATAATTGTAATAAGGGAGTAAATATTATTGTGTTCTGACCGTAGCATAACTGAATGATATGCAAGACTGAAATTAGGTTGAAATTGTGATTTTTCTAATTTGTGTTGTGTCTCACCCTGCTAGAAATTCGAGCAATGGAAACAACACGATAAGTTGGGTGACCACACAGGATAGGTTAGGAATGTAAAAGTATGATGTACTAATACTATTCTGGGGCTTTTAAATGTAGATATTCTTTTGGTCCGCAAGATATATTTTGAGTTCAGTGCTTAGGAAGGTATAGGTGGCTAAGGCAACTTCCTTCTCAGTTAATTAAAAGTAAGTTTGGATCCAATAGCACTAGCTAATTTTTAGAAGTGAGGTGTTTAGATCTACCTGATAATAGATGGTTGAATAGTTAGTTAAAAGTAAATATAAACTATTAGCATCTATTAGTAATTCCAAATCAGCTGCTAATAGAATTAATAGTTAGCAGCATCGAGCTAATGATTAGTAGGTTTATTTACATCCATCAGTACTAAATTTTAGTGTTAATGGACTGAAACAGGGCCTAACTTGCACCGATCCATCGCACACGAGGTTGCCTTTGCTACTTCATCGGTCATGTACAGCGAAGAGAATTACGTCTCACTTTTGATAGTCTTGAGCATATCATAGACCATTTTGTTTAATGTATTGTCATCATTTTTTTTTTTGTTTTGATATATATGGTATCATACTTTATTGTACTGTTTTTTAAATGTTTTACTCCCAATGCAACACACGAGCATAAACCTCTTATATGTTCCTTATTTGTGAAGACTGAAAACTTATGTAATATTGGCTACGTGAACATCACGCTTAAATTATTGTTTTTAATACTAAACATACATTTAAACTTGAATTATCGTTGTATTGTTGTTTTTCTCTATACCGACATGATACTACCAAATTTACAGTAGTAGTACAATAATTATTCTTAAAGCATTTTGTTAAACAATACCATCCGCTGTTAAATTGGAACGCAGGGAGTATATTTTAGCACATATTCACCGGTCGAAAATGATGATCCGACGGCATACTAGCTTGTACAACTTGTACCGATGCAGTGGCGTGAATCTATTTCCTTGTTATTATTGGTACACTCGTCAGTCGTCACTAGTTGGTAAGCACGATGGAATCAAAGTGGCGATTTTGACGGCGGTTGCATTTGTGCGGCCACGAGGCCTCGACGCCTCGTCGAACAGGAGCCGGCGACGTCGCCCGCTTCGTCCCCTCCACCGCGCCCACGCCACGAATCCATTCCATTCCCATTCCTCCCCACGCCGCGCGCCTCCATAATACCCACACCGCCACCCCCCATGCCGCTCGCCCACCACCACAACCCCCCGGCCCTCACTCACGCGCCATTGGAATTGGCATTCGATTCCCTTCCCGGCGCAGTTCTCGCGCTCCTTTCCCTCCTCCCCGCCTTGTTGCCGCGCGCGTTAGACCGCGAGAGAGGACCAGCTAACCTCCGGCGGCGGCGGCGGTGGCGGCAAAGGAGGCGAGGTTCATGAAGGTGCTGTGCAGCGCCTGCGAGGCGGCGGAGGCGAGCGTCCTCTGCTGCGCCGACGACGCCGCACTCTGCGCGCGCTGCGACCGAGAGGTCCACGCCGCCAACCGATTGGCAGGCAAACACCAGCGCCTGCCCCTCCTCGCCCCCGGCGGCCAAAGCGCCGCCGCCGTGTCGCCGCCTAAGTGCGACATATGCCAGGTGCGGGCGGGCGTGCGTGCTCATTCTTGTTTATCTTCTACTCGTACATAGCTTTGGACTTGGCTTCACTGACTGACTGGTCATCCTCGCCGCCACCGCGGTTCAGGAATGCGACGCCTACTTCTTCTGCCTGGAGGACCGCGCGCTGCTCTGCCGTAGCTGCGACGTCGCCGTGCACACCGCCAACGCCTTCGTTTCGGCGCACCGTCGCTTCCTGTTAACCGGCGTCCAGGTCGGCCAGGAACTCGAGCTGGACGAGCTCTCCCGGGAGCAGCCAGAGGCGTCGCCTCCCCCGCAGTCGAAGATCGAGCCGGCGCCGCCGCACTACAGCGAGAGCGACTTCGGCTGGGCGGCCGGCGCTACCGGGAGCCTCGCTGACTGGTCGGCCGTGGAGGAGGAGTTCGGGTCCCCTGCCCCCCGCCTCTCGGAGGCCGCGAGCAGGGCCACGCCGAAGCGCAGCCCGCGGGCGCCGCCGGCTTTCGGTGCCGGACAGGGCCGCGTCGCTGGCGGGGTCATGGATTGGCCCCTGGGCGAGTTCTTCCGCGGCGTTAGCGACTTCAACGGCGGCTTCGGCTTCGGCTTCGGCTTCGGCGAGAGCGGCACCTCCAAGGTCAGCAGCGCAAAGCTCTGTTTTTGGATCGCCGATTGTAGTGATTATCTATGGATTATTATTAGTTGTGTTTGCTGCCATTAATCTGACATTCTGATGTGGTGTTTCCACTCTGTCATCTCGTCTCGGCAGGCCGACAGCGGGAAGCTCGGGGGCAGCGCGGCTGGCTCCCCGTACTACCGCTCGTCGGAGGAGGACCGGGACGCCAACGAGCTGTTCGGCCAGGTGCCGGAGATCCAGTGGTCGGTGCCGGCGCTGCCCTCCCCGCCGACGGCCTCCGGCCTCCACTGGCAGCACGGCGGGCCCGACAGCAACGCCTTCGTGCCGGACATCTGCTCCCCGGACGGCGGCGCCGTCCGCTGCTTCCCGACCGCCGATGGCGCCGCCAAGCGCCAGAGGAACCGCTAGCTCCGCCGCGAGGACACATGAGGCTCATACTGCCGGTCGCTATGTTCCAGATCGTTCTTGCAGGCAACATTGTAGTGATGTGATTCAATCAATCTAGCTAGCAACAGACAAGACACCGACTAGTGAGGACCGAGGAATGCGCTGTTGCACGCATCCATGGTGACGGACCGGAGAGAGAAACGGGAATTCAGTTTGTGCGCGTGTTGGGCTGTTGGCGGGTGCATCAAGTCTGGACGATGCTAGAAACTGCTGGTGCTAGTCCTACCTAGCCTTTGACTTCCAATGGAGCTCTCTCTGAAAGACTGAAACTGATGCGCTAACCGATAGCTTAAACACTGGACAGTACGATGCTGATAGTGATGCCTTCGTTTTCTTGTCCGTTCAAACTCAAAAGCTTGGTCAGTGGCATGATAAGGCTCAATCAATGTAACAAAGATGTTGATGATGCTGCTCTGCTTCCAGATTACAAGGGTGCTTAACTAATCAGTTTGCCTCACTCGCTGAGTTGCCAAGTCTTTTATTTCTTTTTTTTATAAAAAAAAGTTATAAAATGGCTTAATTTCAGGTAAATGATGGCCACTGACTAAACGTTGAAGCTATTTCGATGGTTAAATAAAAGAATTCACACACCTTTGGAATTCAAAATCTTTCCACGTCCCTTGAACCTGGTCGACTGTGGAACGGAACGGATAGAGATGCCACGAACGTTTTTACATTTTCCTACTGCTCCAAGATTGTATTCAAAATTATTATTCGACAGATTTACATGTTCGAGATTTTTGAAGAGCGGATTAACTTTTGTCTATAGGAAAACATCGTGCTTTCAGCTTTCATCTTAACGGCTTGTTTGAGGATTGTTCCCCTAGCTATAAATGCATTTTTATTTTCCTTCCTAATCCTATTTCTTATGCACTCGTCCCAAATTTCTAGGCATATGACTTTTGTTACACATCTAAATACGGAGTATACATTATGTCTATACATAATAGAAGATACTCCCTCTGTTCCTAAAAAATGTAATTATGGAAAACGTGTCGGTCAAACTTATCTAACTTTGACTAAGTTTATAGTAAATAGTATTAATATTTATGTTTTCAAATAAATTTACTATGAAAATATATTCTATAACTAATCTAACGGTACTTATATTATATCGTGAATGTTAGTATTTTTTTATATAAATTCAGTCAAAGTTCAAATGTTTGACTTCTCGAAAAGCGAGAATTGCATTCTTTTGTGGACGGAGTGAGTACTCCCTCCGTGTCCCAAAATAAGTACATCTCTCGCTTATCGAGGAGTCAAACTTCTTTTAAGTTTAACTAAGTATATAGAAAATAATATCAATATTTATATCTCCAAATAAGTTTAGTGTAAAAGTATATTGCACAATCTATTGACACTTATTACACAACATAAGTATTAATATTTTTTGTTTATATTTGGTCAAACTTAGAAAAGTTTGACTCCTCGATGAACCAAATGTGCATTTATTTTGGGATAAAAAGAATATATACCTAGAAAAGTTAGACTGACTTATAATTTGGAATGTAGGGAGACGGAACCACTTATATAAGTCTCCCAGGTTGGGATTTGAACTTGACCTGATACCAACGAAGGAGTAAATTACCACTCTCTCCGTTCTAAATTATAAGTCATTCCAATTTTTTTTGAAAATCAAATCATCTCAAGTTTGACCAAAATTATTATAAAGAGAATTACAAATATTTATGACATCAAATGGGTATTAGTATGAAAATATAATTAATGAAGAATCTAATAATATTTATTCGGTATGATAAATATTATTATTTTATTATATAAATTTGGTCAAACTTGAGATGCTTTGATTCTCCAATAAAGTTGGAATGACTTATAATTTTGGATGGATGGAGTATTAAAAAATAAACAACGATATTTTCCACTCGATAGATATTTAACTACATTCTAAGAATAATATGGAAACTTATAAAAAAAGAATGAGCAATGTTTTCCTCTCTGCATATGTTTAACGGCATTTTAAGAAGAGTATGGAGGGTTATAAGAAGAATGTGAATGGATATGACGAGTGGCCTGATCTCGAGGAGGTATTGCAATTTGTTAGACAGCAAGTAGATGAACAAGAGGAATCTGTGGGACAACAGGAAGGGGAAGGAGAGACGCTACCCACCCAGCACCCCATGTCAATCCTTAGAGCCCACACGAAGGGGCATGAATATATGGTGCAGAGTTTAAATATTTAGAGACCCAAATACAATTAAACAATTTATGGACATATACGACACAACCATACAAGTTAGTTAGCTGCTTGCATATTTAACTATTAGCTTTATATAAGCTAAACTGTTTATTTAAAATAACTTGGTAAAATTAACAAAAAAATATATGGGTACTATAATAGCCATTAGAAGTTGTCATTCCTAGCTATTCAAATGTTACGCATAATTATAATTTTCATGAAATTAGCTTATAAAATTGTTAACCGTATCTTTGGCTTATGGCTGTTTTGGTTGGAGTCTTTGACAGTCTGCATTGCAAAAATTATTGTCCCAAAGTCACCTAGAAAGTTGATTGTCTTTATCTAGTCAAGTAATTATAGAGAAATCCTATTTGGTTGATGCCTATACCTAAGAACAATAATGTTAATTAAAAAATATTAACTATAGGACCCTTAAAATTCGTTGAGTAACACTTGGCATCCCATTTCGACGCTGTCTTCTCGTTCCCTCTCTACGTGATTTCTCTCTCCCCGACGCTTCTTCTTACTCTTCTTCAGTGCCATTCTTCCTTCTCCTCCGGGTGGCGGGTGAGCTCGCGTATAGGGTCGAGATGGCGGACTAGAGGGGGTGAATAGTCATTTCTAAAACTAATTGCGCTGATAAACCGAAGCAAATGCTGAATTAAAACTATTGGTCTAACCAAGACTACACCCCTCTAGCTAAGTACTCAAACACCTTATAAAGATCCTTATTAGGCAACAAAGGTGCCGGGCTAGCTCAAGCTCACCGAATCAATTCTAGTAGTAAGGTCACACAAACATATGCAACTAGTACTCAAACAACCGAAGAGCTCCTACACATGCTAGTAAGCAAAAGCACAGAGCCACCTAAGCTCACTAGCAATGTTCAATAACAAGGCTACACAAGCCAAATTAGAGAGCTCAAATCACTTAGCTACACAAACTATGCAATGTGGCTAACAAGGTTACTCAAACCAAATTAGTCACACAAGGGAACTATTTCTATGCTACATAAATAAGAAGGTAACTAGCAAACTATATAAGTCAACTAATTACAAGAGCAACTACACAAGCACAATGTATATGAAAGTAATTGCCAGCTTGAGTAAAGGAGATGCAAACCAACGGGAAGACAAGGATGACACGGTGATTTTATCCCGAGGTTCACGTGTTTGCCAACATGCTAGTCCCCGTTGTGTCGACCACTCACTTGGTGGTTTGGCAGCTAATTGGCATCACCCGCCAAGCCCATAGTTGGGCACCGCAAGAACCTACCCAAAAGTGAGGGTAGCTCAATGACACACTCTACTAGAGTTGCTCTTCACGATCCCCGTGGGGTGAGCACAATCCCCCTTACAAATCCTCTTCCGGAGCACCGCACAATCTTCTCGCGTGCTTCAATGGAGTCACGAGCCACCAAACCGTCTAGGAGGTGGCAACCTTCAAGAGTAACAAACACCACCGCCTTGCAACTCGATCACCTAGTGTCACTCGATGCAACCTCACGATGCAATCGCGCTAGAATCACACTCACACTCAATCGAATGATCACTATCAAGCGTATGTGAGTTAGAGGGCTCCCAAGCAAACCTACACAAAGCCACCAAGGCTTAAGGGTGCTCATCGACTAGCCCATGGTCGAGCTCCACCTCTATTTATAGCCCCCAAGCCAAATAGAGCCGTTGGAGCAAACTTGTTGGTTTCTGCGAGGGCTTCGGACACGGCGGTGCCTGGCACCGAACACGGCGGTGCCCACCCAATGGTTGAATTCCAACGGCTATTTCAACTAGCCATTGGTCACTGGACAGGGTGACGGTGACCACCCAGCAAGGCACCCGAAATCCCTCCTCTCTAGAATAAAGTGGCGGTGCACTGCCATCACCATGGCGGTGACCAACCCACTTTGGCAAACCTCAGGTAAAAAGGGGCGGTGCACCCGATGGTGCACCGGACAACCCCTGGCGGTGCCACCGCCCTCCCAATGGCGGTGCACACCGGACACGATGGTGACACCCTCTTCACTATGCTCCTCAGCTAAGGCTAGGTGAGGACCGCCCTAGGGTGGTGGTGCCCTCCAGGCAGCACCCCGAGCCCGGTTTCGCCTCCTCTTCTTCACCTTTTCCAACACCCTTGCAAATGTGCTAACACCACCAAGTGTTCACTATCTTGTGCACATGTGTTAGCTTTTCACAAACATTTCACAAAGGATTAGCCACTCAATTCACCACACCACTCGATCCTAGCAACGATACAAAGTTAGATCACTCGAGTGGCACTAGATGATCGACGCCAAGTCTTGTCAAGCTTCACTGCCACACGGTCCATCGCTCTAAAGCCTCCAACTTGCCCTTCACGCCTGCAACCGGTCTATCAAGCCAAGTCTTGTCTTGATCTTCTCCACCTTAGTCACACGACTCCATGTCATGTCCCATATCAAATGAGCTCCTTCATCACATGTGTGAGCTTTGCAACATCTCCAAGCCATTTTCACCTATATGGCATATGTTGCTCACACACATGTACCTGTGGACTAATTACTTGTGTATCTCACATTAAACACAATTAGTCCACCTAGGTTGTCACTCAATTACCAAAACCAAATAAGGACCTTTCAATCTCTCTCTTTTTGGTAATTGATGACAACTCTACAAAGATATGGAAATTAAGCACTTTTGGATTCATGTTGCTTGTCTAAGCAATTTTATCATGTGTAAATGATTTTGGACAAGTACTACAAACCCGAATTGGTAGTATTACCTCCCCC